TGTCAACAACATTAGTCAAAAACCCGAAACGGTCAGCAACATTAGTTAAAAACCCTGATACGGTAAACAACATTAGTCAAAAACCAGATGTGGTCAATAACGTTAGTCAAAAACCCATATACGGTAAACAACGTTAGTCAAAAACCAGATGTTATCAATTTTATAAAAGCAGACTGTTATCAAGATAAGCCGCCAGTATAGTTGCAGCCACCGACTAGCAACCATCATTCTGAAGAAGGACTCTGCAATGAGTCCGAAATGTCAGAACTCAACTGCAAACATGGATATATCCTCAAGCAAAAATAATTAATGTTTAATGTAGCGATTTATATTTATTTATTTTTTTGAATGAATATAATAAAAAACTCTTCAACTCTATAAATCATATTGCTGGATAGTTAGCTAGCGTTTTATCCAATGATGTCTTTAAAACTTGACATCAGAGGCAACTTATACTCGGTGCTTCTCCTCGATGCAGCCCTGAATAAATATAAAAAAAAAATTAGAATATTGCATTTTAATGGAATAAGATAAATTTCAGCTACGATGCTGTTTCCTCATATAAATTACATTTGTCTATTTATGTAACTTTTATAAAAAATATACTTGTCTAATTTTATAATTTTTCAGGAAAATAAAAAATAATTTTAATTCAATGTGATTCTTTGTAGATAGTCATTTTGAAGTAAAAATATAATATCTTACCAATAAAATTGACATACCGTTTTCTTGTTAGATAAAATTAATACAATATTTTTTATATATATCAATAGTTCAGAAAATTAAATTTTGTAAATTATCATTGGGTCGCAGAATAACCTTTTTACAAAAGTTACTAATTATGATTTATTAAAATTTTGAATAATATTATATTCAGTATATTTTAAGCTTAAAGTAATATTTTAAACTTTGGGATCGAAGAATTCACTATTTACATTTAAATGCTGAGGGTGTCTAAATGTTTTGATCAGTTCTAGTGTTAAGTTTTGCAGATTGGAACGAATTCAAATCGTTGAAAATGTTAAAGAAAATAAAAATAAATAATTTTATAACCAAGTACCACCTAGTATAGCTTCTAAACATTTTGAATATTGTAGCATTACTCTTTTGATATATAGAATTTTCAACTGTGCTCGATTTATTGTTATCAACAGTGGTCAAAATTTTATATATTTAAATTCATATAGGTGATCATAACCTTCTTGTTATTATCAACCGTGATCAAGATTACTGGCTTCTCCTAATATTTCTTTAAATCTTTTGGAACGGTGCTTGTAACAACGCGTTACCAACCGTGATGCTAAGGGTTATAATTATCTCTTTACCTAAATTAATTTGTTCATAAAGTAAGACTGATATGATAGATAGTTGTTTAGTATAGATATATTTGTTTTTTTTTAAATAAAACAAAAATTAGTTGATTATTTGAACAAATTTGTGTTGTGATTGCGTATTATTGACAAAGTTAAGTTAAAAAATATAAACTCAAAAGAGTACAAACGTAAAAACGTTTTAATATTTTAAGATATTATTCTTGAATTAATGCCTGAATTTTAATATTGTTAGATATATCAATATAATAATAATATTTTTAAAACGTTATTATAGCATATTATATTATACTAATGTTATAAAAATATCTTGGTTTTATTATTTTTTTAAATACGTGAAATATTTAATACAACACTAATAACAATACCACCTACTTGAAAATTCATAAAAAATGAGAGTTTTATTCCAAAGTATTCATCATATCCTTCAGTATATTTAATTATACTATCCATCAAATAGAATTTATTTTCTCTTCTAATTGATTTAAGTGAAATTAACTAAACTATAGTTGGCACCAAAAATAAAAACAACATATAGTCAGCCTAAATTTTATAAAATCTACGTTTTTCGATTTAAAATGGTTAATACGTTCATATACCATTACCCAATTCTAAATTCAATAATTACATCCAGACAATAGTTTTTAAAGGAAATTTTCTTTTTATTGCTTTCTTGAAAGTTGGGAAAATATAAATACAAAATATTGTCATTAGAGTATCAATATTATAGTTAATAGGAGATAGAATATTATAGTTAATAGAAATGGCCCTAGATGACTCTCCAACTACGCCACATAGCAAAGTATTTATGTATTATATTTGTTCTTTATACATTTTTTTATAAAAAAAATAATTAAAACTTTAAATAAATAAAACAGACTAGAAAACTATATTGTCAATTTATTTATATAATAGTTATTTTCTATCATTTAAATTTTTTTATTACTGCTTACAAATATTAATTTCTTATCAAAAAATGATTTTTTTTATGAAACTATTAAAGGAGCTTTTATTACCTTATTTAACTTTTAATATATATATAAATTTGAACTTATTTTACACCAAAAGGTAGATGATATTATAATACAGTTTCAGTGACATTATTTATGTGTATATAATGAAGCTGTAGTGTCATTGGGTATGTAGGCTGATTGATTTATTGTTGACCACTATATATATTCTAAAATAATAATAATCAAGAGAATTATATTTTTAATTATTTAAGTAATATTTATTATTCTATTTTCGAGTGTTAAAATATTTATTAGGTCTATTCTTCATAAGGTTACCAATTTTTTTTAAATAGCGACATACATATTTAACTATTTCATATAATATATAATGATTCTGTCCGTAACAATTCAATAAAGAAAATTACTGGATAGGTGTTTTATGAATATTTTTATATTTGCTCAAAAGGAGTAGCACGGTTGAGTGTTGCTTCAAAATAAAAATAACATACCTTGCACCTCGCCACCAGTCAACATTTAAAAATGTTAATAACTCCTAAACTACTGGCTTAAAAGTTATTAAGAACCACTTTCTTAGTTGCGTCATTTTATATTATATAAACTAGTTAAATTTTATTTTGCCGTAAAAAAAAATTAAGTTAATACCCTTATATGGGATTAGGGATAAACCCAAAAGATAGAAGTTTCAAATTGTATACGATAAACAAAATAATTATTATTTTAGGAGCAATTAAGTGTTTATCAGTAAATTAATCACTCCGTATATTAATAAAAACATATGCCCCTGGATATTTTATTGAAGCAACATATTATACACAACTGATTTATAAGCGGTATGAGTTATGTAAAACAAATAATTTGTTTTAATATCATATTAGTACTTTATATGAATTTAAAAAAAATATGTTGAATAATAATTGATGATTGAAATAAAACTGAGCATAATTTCATTGAAAAGTATAAAATTTAAATGCCCATAAATTCATGATTGTCTCTAACTACTGTACTGTATTTATTTGACTAATTAGGTAATGAACATTACAATAAGGTACATGTATTTATAAATTTTACTTATAATTTATTACATAAATAACAACTTTGGAAATTGAAAATTTTATGTTTATATTAAACAAATGAATACAATTTACAGAAAAATTCAAATTCCAAAAATTATTTAAAAATTTAATCTTTAGCCAATTATAAATAACTGTTTATATTATTCGAAAATAATGTTGATCTTTAGAAATGTGTGAAGGATAGACTTAAATATTTTATATTCTACTTCATTTATTGTATAATATATACTAGTTTAATTTATATCTCTAATAAAATTAATATATATTTATATTCATGTTACATAATGTGTAAAACGTAATTTAAAACTTTAGAGCACTCTAGTAGCACAATACGTAAACTCAATACAAATTTGAACTTGTGTTGCTTAATAGAAATACTAGATAGCACTGCTATAGCAATGGTTTTGTATTCATTCAGAAATAGTTACCCTTTATTTTTGTTGCGTTCATTTTTATTCATTATAACATAATATCATGTGGAAATCATAGGTTTTCATAAAATTCTCGTGGATTAAGTACTATAATAAAAAAAAACTTAAAAGTTAAAGCTATACGAGTTAATGAATGGTATTATTTCATTAACTAAATTATATCGTTTAGCTTGTAAAATAATATATTAAAAGTTGACAAATATTTGACTAGTTCAATTTGGAAATATTTTATAGATAAAATTAAGCAATTGAATTAAGCAGGGGACATTTTGGAAACAATTTTAATAAAGTAAAGTAAATTTTTAAAAATGTCAAGTGGTATCATTAGAGACTTCCATTTTTTATTATTTTACAGCGTGTAACTACCTAAAATGTACTAAAAGTTAAATCGATCTTCAGATAATTTATATAAAAATTATTAAAGTCGACTATGGTTGTAAAATTTAATTGAGAAAATTACTCTATAGTATACTTTTAAAACTATATTGGTCCAATTTTCTTGTTAAAGATATTATTTGAGTTTTAAATGAAAAAGTTTAGTTCAATACACCGTATCTGTTTAATAATTTTCAATCAATCTTATTGTTATTAATTTTATAATAATCAATTACATTTGGAATTATAATAACATATAGTATTAAATATTCGGAGAATACGTGTGTGTTACTATTTAGTTTTAAATATTTTTTAGGTAGTTACTAAAAATGTGACTTTTCAAGCATGCATAATATGTTAAAGGACATTTCTGCTGTTCTATTTGTGGTCAGTCAGAGCGTAAATGCGAAAAGCAGCGTGTCCGTGTCTCTTGATTCGTAATGCCATTATTATAATGATATGAAGGTTCTTGGGTCGGGTGCAGTCAACTGTTAGTATAAAGCCATGCTTATTACTAATGGAAATGAGAATTCAACAACTTTTGTTTTTACCTTGTTTGCGTTAAAGAATAAGTTCACGTAAATAAAAGCGAACGACGCACAATGTTTGAGTAGTGTGTTTTACACACCGAACCCGTTGATTTGCATTCAGCTTCGTTTCCATTTGTGCCGTCATAGTATATCCATAAATTAACGTTTGCCGCCTACTAAAATAGTATCACGGGAAAATGGTATGGTAACGGTAGTTTAGCGAAGGAGTAATTCTGCTGTACACAGTAAAGATCTGACATCAATAGTAATAGTTTATCCAATCCTCTCTTTGCTGTGAAATACTATTATTCAACCCATATTGTACTATGTAACGCAACAGCAATAGCTTCGCCGTGTAAACAATGTCTGTACTCGAATATGCATTCATTATAAAACACTATTGTTAAAGCTGAAAATTTGTCGGATTCGCCAATTATTATATAGAATTAAATCTATAAAGTAATAACAGGTATAATATAACCAACTGTATTTTGTTAAACTTGTTTAATACTCGCACACGCATCACATTTGTAGACATGATTTTAAACGGAGCCAAATATTTTCTTCGTGTCTAATAACATTTATTATTCTTTTAAATTATAATTTTTTTTTTTTTGTATAATTTTACTCTAATTAATTGGTACATTCTAGATAAGACTAGAAGTTGTTTTTTATTTAAAAAACTATATTATATGCATAATTTTAATTTTGTTATCATTATTATAATATAATCCACCAAAATGGTTTTCTACATTTTTATTATTACGTGACAATATATGTGGTACCGTGTTGAAAATTGGCACTTAAAACTAGTTATTTTTCACAAATAAAAGTAAAACATCTGAATTTTAATATTAATTTTAAAAATTAAGTAGTTATTTCAGTGGCGTAGCTAGAGAGGCTAAGGATTAAATAAAATTCAAACGACAATTATTTAATAAAAATTGTAATTTTAAATAAATTTCTATGAAAAAAAAGTCATGAATAATAATTATTATTATAAATAATAAGTACATTTTTTTTAGCAACTCTTCTACAGAAATAAATTAAAGGCTACGTTACTGATTTCACTATTAGAGTCTCCAAGTAATATTTTATTAGTTTTACATTAAAATTCAACTAGAAAAAAATATTTTTTCTCAGATTTTTCTGAAATATAACTTTAGAGTAAAATTTTGTTCCTATTAAAATTCAAGGAAATTAAAATTAATAAATACATATATTATTTCTGTATAATAGAATTTACTATGAATTGTCAACTATGAATAATAAGTCATTATAATTTTGTTTTAATTTGGCATTTCAAAAAAGGTCAGTTATGAAAAGGTTTTCTAAAATCGGAAAAATGATTTATGTAACAATTTAAATACCATAAGGTAATAAGTTAGAAAATTCAAATATTTGATTGTCAAAATTCGTACTAGGTATTATAGATATTCTAAAAATTAAAAAAATAAATCCATAATTGGACTTTTATTTTACATTTTTTTTAATTACTTACATTTTAATATAAGAAAAATATTATTCTTTGTCTAAAATATTTTTGTGAAAACATTTTAGACATTATACTTTTCTAACGAGCTATTTTCAATGAATAAACTATAGAGATTATCACCATTCGGACTACTGAACAACTGATGTTACAAGTCGTTGGCGTGAGAAAAGGTAGGGGAATAATGTCGTTTAATCGTTTCGCATACTTACTGCAGATACAAGTGTGGAATAATTGAATAATATTAAGAATATTATGTAACCCATCGTATTAAACAGCGAGGATTGTGTGGGAACAGTCTGCAGCCCCCAAAAAACCGGTTGACCGTTAACGTAGAAAAACAGAGAGGGCACCGACGTAATTCACCCTCAGCTCATATGAGTGTTGAGGAATCCTTTAATAATATTGTGACCGTGGGCGAACGAGGATTCAAAAATTAATTCTTACTATATTTGTTAGTAGTTTGTTTTACAGTGGTAAGTAAAAAAAAAAAAATTGTTGCTTAAATTTAAAAATACATTTTGTAAAAATAAAAGAAAACTGCTCAATTACAGTTATTTTTTTATGTATTCGGTAACGCCCACGCCAGGGGTGCGGTAAAAACTCGAGGAAAATATTATTATATATTTTTTTTCCTGAATATAAATGTATTTTTTTACTTGGCCCGTACACTTTCTGACCAATGTGCTTTGAAAAAAAATTACCTCGGCTGCCGTCGTCGGAACGGTTCGTCGCCCGGTGTAGTGGGTAAACAGCGGTCGGCGAGGGCGAAGAAATCAAAAATGGCCGTCCAGAATGTGCGCACGCGCTAAAAACTGTACGTTTACTGGGACGACCAGCCCCTTAACGCGTGTGCCACTCTGGCGGCCTTTTTCATACTTGTTCTCCGCCGCACTGTCCTTTTCGTGTGTAACTTCTATTTTGCATTACACAAGCTGCGCCTAGACCGTTACCGTTGCGTTTTAACGGCTTCGAGGAACGACGGTGGCGGAGGTATGCCCTCCACACCCACGCCGTTCTCTCTGTCATTTCGTTGCTGTTTTGAACTGTTTTGTTTCCACACCGCTGCCACTCTGTACATCAATTGTATTCTACCTATCCGAACAAGTTGATCCCGACTTGTCATAGCTTTGGGCTAATATATGTATTTTATTTAAAGCTATTGATTCAAAAGCGTCACTCGGCAACTTTACGTTTGTTCGTCGATTTTGTCTCCAATAATAACAATTCACAATGTCTTTCCAACACATATCGAAATAATGCTATCTAAGTGTAACAAGTTTAAAACTGTGGCACTGCCGTTAACAATATTTTATTATAGCACAATATTTTGGTTTATTTATTTTTTTTTGTAAAAATATATATTTTTGATTGCTTAAATTAAAATAATAAAATTGTTTTTTAGCTTCGATGCGAGGCCGAAAAGGTATTTCACTAGTATTTATTATGATGTATATTTTTCGTGTTCATAAAAATATTCAGATATTACTGGTCGATTTTGCCAATAAAAACACGACAAGAAACCAAACTCGATAACAGCTGGGAAAATCTATTTCAAAAATTGAAGAAATCTCAATTAGTTTAGGCTATTTGAAAAATATCTCAATTTGCCAAAAATGGCAAATTCAATATTTTTTTCTGCATATTAAAATCAATTAGATCTTTACGAAATTTTAATCGAATATACTACAGACAAAAGACCTTTCTTTTGATATGCTATTTGTGATAATACAATAGAAAACTTCAACACAGAAAGTATTTGAACAAAATCACCTGCACATAACCAAATATTTGTTTTCATTTAAGCTTTTCGAAACGTTTGCATTCTTTAAACTTATAGCAAGTTAAAGCTTTATAAATGTACTTTCAGATTAAAAAATTATAAAGTTTCGATGATTGTTCTGCTAGAAGTAATTTTTCTTTTAATTGAACATTTATTTTTGTAAAAAATGTTTAATTTTTTTTAAGTCTTATAAAAAATCGTATCAAAGCGTTTTATGATTGTTATATTATCAACCGTCAGATATCAATCTATACTGAAGTCAACTATACCGGATCCCCAATATGCTGTGCACTGACTGTATTGGTTTTTTTACTTTATGCATTAATTAATACTTTTAGTAGTCTTCCAAATTAAAAATTATTCATCCAAAAAATACAATTATTTTTTGATCAAGAGGTACCAGAAACTTATTGGCCTTTTACTAAAATATTGATGCTGAATAACATTTTTAAGTTTTTAAATATACTAAATGCCTTTGTATTTCTCTATGTTTAAACTTCCCAGCACGTACGCAGAGAGAAATGCTAATATATTATTTAACATAGTTTCTTCTTTAGTCTAATTATACTACGTTATACAAGGTATCATATAATTGCTTGGTGGTGCTTAATGTTATAATAAGACATTGGATACAATTAATTTAAAAAAGTCAATTTTCAATATAAATTATTTATACAGAAGTTCTAGATGATCTTTAAGGAAAAAATATTGTTTATTACAATTTTAAGGTCATTAACCAGTTAATGTTGTAATTTACTTAAAATATATCGTTTAGTTTTTATTAAAACCGTTATTTGTATTGTATGAAAGGTAGATGGCCAGTAGGGGGCGTTGTGCAAATAAAAATTAAAATATTACTACACGCGTTACATACTGTAATAGTTATAATATTTTGGTTAAATCAAGGAAAACAATTTTTGGAATAAATATATGTAACAAATTTGTATTGGTAAAAATAATAATTAATGTACTCATAATTTAGAAATTGTAGTGTTTAATAATAAGTATTCTACGCATAAAATAAATTTCAATGAAATTTTTATTGTTACAATATTTGATATTAAAATGTTTTATTTTTGAAACCCCATTGAGCTTGTATAAATTTATTCAGGTTTTAAATCTAATCGTATAAAATTGTACATTATTTAAAACTATATTTGAATGTTATTTTAGAACTAGATGTGCCACTAAACGGCGTAAATAACTGGAAAAAAAAAAACACAGAACATGTGTTTGTAGAACAACGGTTTTTGAGAAATGGATAGTTGTAGAGAGAAAATCAATACGTCCAATTAAATGTGACAACATTACTTGTAAGATTATACAAACGATTTTCATTAAACAAATTTTAAACAAAGTTATAATAGTTAAAAAAACGTAAAATTGGACGGGCTATAATTTTTGTTCAACAAGTTTTCATTATAAATCGCCCATATAAATATGTAAATAATGTTATTACGTTTTATTTGATGTATTGATCATCTCTCTACAACCACCCGCGCCTCCAAAATCGTTGCTTTCGCGATACATGTTTTTATGTACCAAAAAAAGTATCTGTTCGCCCTTTTAAGCAGTAGTCTGACACTTATTATCATAAAAAGTAATTAAGTACATTAGAAATTCTAGACTTTTTTTGTAGAATTATATAAATATCTATGCTTTCAACAATAAGTCTTTGGAATATTTGATCATCAAAAATAAAAAAAAGATTTTAATGTTTTAAAAATGCTAAAAATGCACATTCATATTTAGATTACGAATTAATAAAAATGACACACAAAATTTTGCCTATAGTGATTAGGCCCCTAAAGGTATTGATTCCTACTGACGAAAGTTTTTCAAACATCGTGACTGTTTAGAAATTATAATAAAGAGTAATTTTTTTTTAACAACCCCCTAAAATAAAATTCTGACTACATGTATATGTGTACAGGGACGTTTATAAATTTAATCATAAAGTATAATCTATGAGTGTATATATATATACTTAATAATAGCGTATGATTAAGAACATTACCCTCAATATTTTTGTTAAATTTTATATTTCCATGGATTTATAAAATTTTATTTAATTTTATGATTTTTACTCCTACTTAATCTTAAACCCTTTTCTTCAAGAGCTGATCTCCACACCTCTAGTTGTTGATTAATTTCCTTCCTATTTTCTCCTATTAACACCATATCGTCAGTCAACAATATGCACCACGGCACCTCTCCTTGCATTTCTCTAGTAATTTCATCCATTACTATAGAAAATAAGTAAAGGCTTAAAGCAGAATTTTGGTGTACTCCTACTCTTATCCTAAAACCTTCTGTTATTCCTCCTACGCTTTTTACCCTGGTACCATTATACATATGATGGCATATCATACATATTATTTTCGAATGTAATCCCTAAAAACTAGAAATAATTTTTTCTCGCGATTAATTTTATATTTACTGTGGCTTATAAAAATAAATCAAAGTTTAATCTGTACATTTTTAACGAAAAAATTTAGGGTAGTGTTCTTAATAATCATACTGTTTATATGATTATGATATCAAATTAACAAAATGAGCATCTTGTATGAAATATTAAATTAATTTTACCAATCTAACCAAGAAGTTTAATAAATTCGATATTTTTTTTAAGTTTATTATTTTTTGATAGTAAGGTTTATACATTTAGTGATAATTTATGCTGATTGATAAATGTAATTTAGTAATATAACACTTTACCCAAACAATATTGATAAATTATAGTAATTTAGAATTATATAAAACGTAGTTTTATAGATAAAAAAATTTATTAAGCAAACTTTTTAGTTCCTTATATTGAGTTATTTCATATATACATTAGTGGCTTTAGCGACGACTTGTGTCTGCAGTATTTGTATTGATCGAATCTTGTGCGACGGCGGTAGTAAAAGGTGGCGGATAGAATGAAAGGCAAAGGAAAAGGACGATACGAGAAATGGAGAACGATGTATACGTATGTAGAACGTAGATGTGGAGGGAGGGCGGAGAGGAGAAAGCAAAAGCCTTAGCAAATGGGCAAAATTACTTCGGACTGGGAGACCACCGCAGCCGTTTCGTTGGTAAACACTTTGCATAAAACACGTCGACGGCGTATTCTGGGGAAATTAGAAGGAGAAAGTGGTGGGTAGAAGTTTAAAAGAGGGGAATTGGTTGATGGAAAAAGAGGTGGACGTAGATGTTCTCAACGTAGAGTATCGGTGGAGGAGGTAAGAGTAGGGTGGTTTTAATGTGTTCGAGACGGACGAGGGTTGACGGCTGTAAAGAGGGGGTGGGGGTAAGGAAAAGAAAGGGGTCAAACCAAAAGGGTGGCGTAGGAATTTATAGGGATGACCGGCGGGATTTTAACAATGCGCTTACGGCATTTATACATAAGAGAAGCCCTGACTCAAGTCTGATCTAATAAAATATTTAATAGTTACTAGTATATGTCTGTAACATTACATAATTTATACCATTCATTACCAGTTCCAGTTTTAATTTCACTAAAATTAAGTATTCTGAGGCATAAAAAACATTAATTGTCGAATTTTATCTTAAAATTACAAACTTAACAAAAGTATTAAAAAGTTATAAGATCTTTTTAAAAAAAAATTTTTTATTTTTTTAAATTTGAAAGGGACGATTTTAATTGATACTTTTATTATTTGAAATATCTAATAAATAAAAAATAAGTAGTTCTGCTTGTTATAGTTATTGTGAAAATTAGATAATAAATAAGAATCTGAAATATTTAATCATATAAACTTTAGCAAAACATAAATCAACGGAAATTCTATTATTAAAATTTTTAGTGAAGTTTTAAGATATTTTTCGATCGATCCAAATCTGACTAAATGCATTGTATCACATTCAACTTTATAGATAAATTAGTAAATATTTTGTAAACTAATGTATTTTGGTTATGTTGAATATAATTAAGTTATTATAAGTTCATCATTAGAATCATAATTTAGGATGTAGAACTTTTTCAATACACCGTTATAACTACAATGTACATAATGTGATTGTTCAAAAGAAATGCGTTTTCAAAATAAAATTGTTTTGAATTTAAATACTGTTTTTATACACTTTTAATAGATAAAAATAGCTAAAATTCGTATAGTCTTTCTGTTTTTATTGTAAGAAGTATATGCTAAATAATTTTTTAGTATAAATAAAATAGTCTCGCGGAAGATAAATATTGTACCCGTATTCAATATTTATCGTAATTAAAAAATTTGAAATTTGTTTGAAAAAGTGTTTTTGATATAAAATTAAACAAATCTTGTTAGTTGAAAAATAATTTTTTACGAATTATTATTCAAGATTCTTTCATATAATTGATACTAAATAAAAATGATTGCTTTTGAACATTATTTAGTAGATTTAGAAAAAGTGTAAATTTTTAATTTTCTTTTTAGAAGAAATTTTATGAGTCCGTTAAGTGTTCAATACATTAAGTGGTAGGTACACGAACGGTGTAAATTAAAGGACTCAAAGTGTTGAAAATCAACATACATTTATTGTTAATTAACTACATGGTGTTACTTTGGTTTTTCAAAACTTTTTATGTCGACCTTTTTTTTTAACCCTATAGCCAAACACATACCCGTCATCCACCCTTGGTAGTTCAACACATCTCTTTTCATTCTGAATATGAGTAGGGTTTTTTACGTGAGGATCTCGGTGAAGTCGTCGGTTTAATAGAGTAAACTTTTATGACTCCCTTTCGGTTGATAGTAAAACGTAATTATCAAAGGGTACGTTTTAAACTTTCTTTGAAAATTAAAAATTACTTGCTCATTAAAAAAACAGTATCCAATAGAATGTTTAAAAAAAGTAATCTATTTTCCTAAGAGTAATTAAAGACATTTATGACATATTATTTTATGTTACACATCAATCTAAAAGCAAGTGACCCAAAATTTCATGTTTACAAAATTAAAAACATGTCTAAACGTTTAATAAATACACTGTGATATTTATTAGCAACAGTTCATTGATTTCCGACAAATGATTTAAAATTAATACATTTTTATTCGAGTAAAAAAGTTGATACAATTTTCAAAAATTACATCAGAGATTGCGACATACAAAGAAACAATATAAATTTATCGGTCAAATATATATATATTAGCAAAAAAACCAATTAAAAATATTATTGGATATTTATTATGATCTGTTATCAGTGGTGGACTGCAGTATATTCTACGCTAGAAATTAATTATCAGAACAATTAAGAATTTTTTTTTCTCGTCAAATCAAACATTTTAAAATTAAGCGTTTATTGAAAAACATTGCACCAAAAAGTATATTTCAGTTGCCAAATAATTAATTATTATTTTTTTTTTAGAACCAATAAAATGTTTCTAAACAAAAAATTGATAATTATTAGACAAAATCTTAATATAAAAATTATAAAGTGATACACATTTGGGGGTCGTAGTAACTTTCTCAATATTCGAATTGCCGTTGTTACTGTTAGGCCAACCTGCTCATTGTGCACTAACAGCGACGAATGGCTACTGTGTAACACCACATAAAGACAGTTTCGGTTAGTATAAATATAAAGTAATCACATGATTAAATGATGAGGTATTTGACAAATTAATACTTACAAGTCAAAAACTTAATTAAGATTTAGACCCTCCCAAAAAATATAATTTTAACTATGTCTATGAACCCAACCAAACAATTGAAAATGATTTTTATAGAACACATTCTGATCAATATTCAAATCTCTCTAATGAGTGGTCAATTTTTATTTAATTGCGAACAAAAACATTATTAAATATGAACGAATTTCTGGGTACTATGTCATCTAGGAATGTACAACATCAATATGTACCATTATTAGAAATGCAACCACGTTAGTGTATCTCGTCTTGGAGTTACAAGGGGTAAACTGTTGTAACCGGTTTTTTAAAATGTGTGTACAGGTATCGTAGTGCTCTTGTTAAACATCTTTCAGTACTCCAACTGCTACAGGTTTATGCGGATCACATTTCACCATACAACGTTCAGAGTAGACATGAAGTACTGTAAATGAAAAGTTTCAATTAAACAATGTTCTTATATAATAATAAGTTAAATACATTAAATCGTTATATTTATTTCAAATGCAGCGTTTGAGTCGACAAATTAATACAACAAATCTCGACTGTTTGTAAATGTAATGTAAGTTATGACAATAAATTAAGTGATTTTTAATTAATTTACCTTATGAGTTATTTATTTTAACGAAATATTCTTCAATACGAGTTGTTAAATCATGTGAAAATTGGGTATTTGTTCAACGAAATCATACGAGTACTCCTTACTGGAACTACGGCAAGTTGGTATGTTCAGTTAGACGTTTTCTACCGAAAAAAATGAATCGCAGTGCCATCGAAAAGCCGAGGCATTTTAATTAAACGGCGTTCAACCGTTGCAATGTCCGTACATCGTATCCCGATTAATCGTAGCGCAAAAGATTTGGACTATCCCGGGAAGGACGTTGATGGCTGCGAAGGGCCTCTAGGCTTTTTCCGAAGGTTCATGAATTTAAAGGCTTTGTTAAAAACAAGGGAACAAGTGATGGATGACCGTATTTAAGGGCTGGCATCGGTGCGCGCGCGAGTGTACATATATTGTACGAGCTCTGAGCCTTTTTCGGTTCGGTAATGAAATTCTCTTGGGGAACTTGGCAACGGCGTCGGGTAACCGGCGGCTAGGGGAGCGGTTAAACTCTTAAATTGCTTTCCTTTCATTTTCCCGCCCCTGAAACGGCTACTCGAGCACGCGGGCGTCAACAAAATGAGAGAACTCGTCAACTTAACTACACGCCCTTCCGCCACGTCGACCTTTCTCGCGAACGGCCGACATCAGATTAATGAGGTTTTCCCCACTGCACACAACACCCCCTCTGACCGTACTTTCTTCGACTTTCTGCAGGTTTCGTCCGTTTTACCCTCGTCGTCCTTTCCACATACTTACGCAAATGTCTAAAACTGTACGCTGTTAAAATCGTTGTTAAAATAAACAGCCCTCGCACAGCTCATGCCGTTCGTCAATAGGCTGAACTTTATACGTGTCAGTAGCGACACGAACGCAAAAATAAGAATTTCGTGGGCGCACTTTAATTATCGAACGGTACGCACAAAGTATTTTTTTTAAGTTTATTAAACAACTTTAAGTATAACATCGTGAAGAAAATTTATGTATACGTTTTAAACAGTTATTCAACTTGCTTAATGTTTAAATAAACTTATTTTCGTCAAATATATAAAATGTATTAATATCGATAATAATTACTACTTAAAACGGTCATTGATATTACTAATGAATACTAAAATATTATATTTATAACTTATTTTACGCGTTAATTTGCCAATTTCCGTCAGAAATGTTGTTTTTATTATTACTCCATAATTAATCAAACTATTATTTTTATTTTAATTTAATGTAGACAGAAAGTCAGTAATTTGTTTAAAACTTTTGATGTTATGTGAATTAAAAAAATAATTAAGTTGGGTTATAATTTATAAGTTGTTGATTTTTAATGGAAACTCGATTATGTTTTTATTTACTTCGAATAGTAATAATATTTTTTTAATCTAAGTTTAATAAACTAATAGAAAATTTTACTGTCCATACAAAAGGTACTATTCTTCGAAAGGAAGAATTAATTCTAACTATTTATCATAAAAAGTTTTTATTAAAAACCATAGAGAATTAAATTTTATAATATCATTATAAGTTTTAAATACCATAAAGTTCTATTATTGGTATTCAAGATGTAAACTGTCTGATACCTTCACACGAGTTATAATTCATATAATTCTTTTTATTATTTTTAAGTTTTCGGAAAAATTTTATTTTACTTTTGCACTATATTAAATAGTCTTTTAACCATAATTACTGAAAATTAACTTAAAATATCAAAAAATAAAACTAAAATTACTTATTAAGTTATCTGTTAAGTTAAAATATTAATCTTCAAAGTTTTTAATCTGTTGGTGCATTTGAAAAAATTAAAACAAAACCTTTTAAAATATAATGATTAATTGTGAAAAAAGCTATATTATATAATAATATTTATAAATTCAAGTACAGACTTTTCATTTTGACCAAATTATGACCGGCTAACATCTCTTTGATCAATTGATATTGTGCTAACTTTAATTTTTATTACTAACAATAAATATAAAATATAATATAATTAAATGATTTGTTTTTAAGCTTATCTAAAATATTTTAAAAATCGAAATTTTTAAATAGTAAATGTCTAATAAAATGATTATTATTATTTACAATTGAAATGTTTATTTTGGAGACATCTAAACAAACAGTAAAAAATATTGAATTTAATATATGTACGCGCTGTGTGTATATGCTCATTTTTATAGTGCCCTCGGAGTTTAAGGTTAATGGGTTAGAATTAATTTAATTAATTTTACATAAAATAACGTTAAAACAACGTCATTCAAAGTAAAATAATAATTATAAAAATATTGCATTTAATTTTTTTTTTTTGATTTTAATTTTCTTTATTATGTGAAATATTTTTATTGTAGATAGGTAACCAATAGAATTTATGAAAATTGCTCATTTAACTTAGTTGACTATGTTGACCATGTATAAATATATATCAAAAAAATATGAAAAAAAAAGAACACAAAATATAATTTTAAAATTATTGTAACTTATTTTAATAGTTTATCTACCAAATATAATTTTGCGGCTTTTTTTAAAAAGCTGATATGTCGGAAAATATTTAGTTATTGAGGTTTTTATTATTAGTGCAACAAAGAATATTTTCTGTCATTTACCAAAAGATTATGATTCAATAATAAAAAGAAATTTAATTATTTGCAATTTAAAAATAACAAGTTGTATAAGACATTTATACAATTTTTAGTTTATTCTTTCTCTTTTGAAAAATTCGATTTGATAATCAAATTTAAATAAGTTTATTTTTTAAAGAAAAAGGATTATTTTCTAGTTATTAAAGTTATAGGTTCAGTTGTATTCTTATAGATGTTGATCTACTAGGAATTGCATTTGATTTTGAAAACTTTTATTTAGGTTCAGTTAAGTTCGTCATTCGTATTGCATTTGGTTCTTTGTATTAATCTTTGCTAAGTTAATATCTATAAGTATATTCTAACTTATATTTTAAATTAATCAAATTGCATAAATTATGATTTTGATTTTTATCGTGTAAATGATTTATTACTAAGTTGCTACATTTTTTTCGCGGTGGGTATCTTTAATTTTTTTATTGTAAAACGTTAATATGTTTAATTTACTTCAATGACGAACGTTTATCTTATTTGAAGCGCTGATATGTTAAAATACGATAACATTTTATCGACCATCCTGTTTAGCCTTTAGGGGTAGTCATGAGATATATGGATTTTAATTATAATTTTGAGCTTATTGTACAACACGCATTAGTCATTACACAAAGTGAATAGAACCGTTACGTTGGCAATAATCTTAAGAATTTATCTTGGGTCTAATGTGTTGTGCGCGTGGGGAACCGATCGATATCCTGTGCACAAAAGGACCCTCGGGTTTTATCGCGAGTCTAAGGGGACGGCAGCGGCGTATGATGGCGAAGTTGGTCGTGTCCGAAAAAGGAACAACAAAATCCTTTGGTCCCTCCGCCATCCTTTTGTGTATACACAACGTATGCAGACACCAAGAGGGAAGCCATTTTCCTAATCCGTTTTCGCTTCACTCTCAGGTCCTTTGCATCTAAACTATATTTATACGTAGAAACGTCGGATGAAAGAGCAACCCTCGCGCCATCATTACAAAAACATACATACACTGCACATATGTAGATAGGTATATTTACTTTCAGAAACAGAGTTTACGGTGTAGAAAATTATACGGACAGAACAATACAAGCTTTTAGCTAATTTTCTCTGACCCGGTTTCACATGTACAATCCCAATTGAAAGTTAGACTTCAAAAACGGCCGCAAGTGTCGAAAATAACATTAACCACAAGTCACCGTATAAACGAATCATAGTGTACTTTTACACCACATGAGTACGGTCGCCGAGTTAAAACGGATAAAATAAAATAAGTATATTATTATTCTTCATATTTTACAATGCAATTGCGTTAAAAACTGAACTTCACCATTGATATCTATACCTACAAAGTGTGTTTTATTTTTATAATTTTTCAAATCGGTAAAAATCATCATTGTTGAATCACATGTTACAAAAATTATCACAAAAAAAATAGTTAATTTTTTTTATCAATAACTGGCATTGAAAATAGCTTTTCAGTTCATACAACTATTGATAGTTCTCTATCGAGATTTAATTTAAAGATAAAAAAAGTACAGCTATTGTATAAAATGAGTATCGGAACTGGTTATAAATGTAATCATAATAAATTTTACTTTATTAAAAAAATATAAATTTTTAACTTTTTCATAGTCTTAAGTCTATTGTATTTTTATTTGTATACTAAAATAATACTACATAATATATGTTTTTACTAGTTTTTTATAATTTTATTATTTTATATTGTATAGTTTTCTATTGTATTATAATATGAAATGTTTTTATATTTTTATAGAATATAAATGTGCTTTAACGTTTAATTTCATTGGTTTTTTTTACAAAATAAAGATGACTTTCCAAAATTCGGACTGAATATTGTAGTAGTTATACATAAATGTTTCTCTATAAATACTATAGTACTTCATAAGTGTTAACAAACGTATTTAGATAAAAAATTACACATAAAAAATTAGTTGGCGACTTTTTTGCGTATAAAACCGACAAGTTTTCATTAATCCTTCTGTTAGCTTGACTCTGTAAATGACCACCTCGGGTGACCTGTAGACATTACCTTTGTGTATAAATTTAAATACTTTAGTTTCAATTTAATAAATTAGGATCACATATTTTAGTTTTTATAAGCATATTCAATTTATTTTTAAAATTTTCTTGATGTTTTGGAAACAAAAAAGTATTTTCAAGGTCTTAAATTTCTTTTTTTGGACATAACGAAAGTTCAAAGAAACTTTTTTTAATGTCAATGCTAACTTTTGTTTATATTTTACTTTGAAACGCTGAACTCAAAATTAATTTAATGTAAAGTTTTTTTTTAATTGAATTATTTAAATGTACGGGATTTATTGCCATAGTATAATACAGTTGCATAATTAATTATAATAATTAATAGAATAAATATTTCAAAATATCTGTTACAATAATTATTATAATAGATATTTTGAAATTTTTATTTGACATTTTACATATATATTAATATTTGCCTTAGTATAATATTAAGAAAAATAACTCATCGAATAAAACAATTATAAATAAAAATTAATAATACTGTTGTATAAAATAAAGCGTAAATAAAAAATCCATTAATTTTCCAAGGCACTATTGTACTTCAATATTTATATTATTAACTTTTATGTTGAAAATATTTTTAAAAATATTTAAACTTCACTGCCTAATAATTTGTTGCTATTTATTTACAATAGGTTTATGATAAGTGTTGAAATGTATTAGGAATCGTTTAAAAAAAATTATTTGTCTAATACATACAAAAACATTAATCACGAGATAAATTTCATGTTCTATTATACATAAATATTTTGAATTATTTTAGTAGTTATTTTTAATGGCATAAGGTAAAATCTAATGCGTTAATGTCGAAAACGGAAGTTATTTACATAAAATACGATATAACCTGTGGTTTTGTTAGTAACTTGTTTCCCTTTAAATTTCTCTGGCAAGTCATTTCCACGAATACAAAGATAAATAATTAACAATGCTTTTTCAAGCTGAAAAACAAGGGATTTCACTTAATCCTGGCAAAAAGCTGGCTCGAGCCACAAAAAGGGTTCGGCAAAAAGACGGTAAATTTTCTTGCAGGCTGATGTACGAGGATTTGCAAGGCAGGGTGGTTAAGCGAGCACAAGATTAAACCCAGGTCTAACAAGCTGGGAGGGATGTTTTTTGTTGAATAATATTCGCTAATTTGGGTCCGAAGAAAAAGGGTAAACTTTAATGAGATCTCCGCGGGACCTTGTGCATGTTTTTTATATCTTTTATACTCGCAAACTGGACCGTGCATGCGGTGGCGGTGTGTTAACGTGCGTGAGTTAGCTGGGTGGAGAAAACGCAGAAGGTGACGCTAAGCGGAGAGGAATATCTAATTTCCTTCTCTTTGTTTTTCACGTAGACCGTTGGTGGACTGCTAAGGGTGAACAGTGGCAAAAGGGGAATAGGAAGACCGAAGGGACATTGTCCTAACAATTTATTCGAGTCGGCCGCATACAAACACGCAAGTGTCTGTGTACATTTATATGCACGTATATCTATATGCAAATGTTGCTCGTTATTTTCTTGGGTTGACGCGATTACGGCCGGGAAATACGTCGGGGACGAACGGCTATTGGACGTAAGGAGGAGGGGGACAAAAGGGATTTTGGCGGAAGGGTTCTTTTGCTTTAGCGCTCATGCACCGCAACCCTTTGCTCGGTTCCTTTACAGGACAGGAAACGAATAGGCATCCCGGAAGACACGCGCTACGCAAACGGGGTCTATCCTCCGCGTATAAATTCCAGTGAGTATATCTTTGAGGTGTTAAAGACGATGCTGTCCTAATGACAACAGAGAGCCTGAATAGTCTGAATTTCTCTCACCAAATTTCTCAAGTGGTTCAGTAAAAAATATCTATCATAATTGATTTATCAATCCAGTATTAATTGCCACACTATAATAATATCTACTGAATTGAATTTGTATTATTTGTTCCATTTAAAATGAAATAGTAACTTGAAATCATCGATTATTTAAAATAAAAGAAATCGCGGTCTTTTAATTTTAACAAGTATCTCTCAACGAACAACAATTAAGATATAAAAAATGTAGCAATCGTAAATCGCTTACGATTATTTCACAAACGTTTCATCAGTTAAGAAATCCGTTACTTAATTTAAATAATATTTATTTTTTATTTTGTGTTAAATAAAAAACAAACTATTTGACTGCAGTTTCGGAATGTGGTACACCAGTATCATTGTATTATTTATAAACGTACGAGGTCAAAACCTCCCTTATCGAAAATAATATTATCATTACAATAATAAGAAATCGAAATCTGCGGCGGCAAACACCCCGTGAATATAAATTCTAACCGGTTTTCTTGGGAATCGTTGCAGAATCCTTACAAAAACCGGTTAGCATTTGTGGCCTTTAAGATTTTTCACACGGTACACTAGTCATATACTATCATACATTTTCACACGAATATGTTTTCCTTTCAGAAAGTCTTATTGTTCTTACAGAATCTTTCGATTATTCTTTGATGTGCTCTGTATAAGAGACACCGACCGCCCAAAAATTTGTTTGAGCTTTTAAATTTACATCCGATCAATCGTATGATAATATGAGCAAATATCAGACAATGGCGTTTACAGGTGGCACGTGCCGGTACGGGGTAAAAAAAAGGGTCCCAGAGGAGAATGTCGAAAAGGGACGTTTCCATCCACCGTCCGGTTTTTTACAACTCAGCCACTGCTATCACCACCATTTACAACTACAGGTACTTAACTTTTTATTATAGTTAATACAATGCATTGTGGTCGTTGAATATTTTTGTCGTCTAACCGGTTATTGGTTTGTGTCACGGGACAATATTCCAATTTGGGACGACTATTGTTACACTTGTATTTGAAAACCTTTGACCTGCTTATAGAAACAAACTGCTGGTGTAAAAAATCACCCTATTTAAGATAACGTAACATAAACATATTTATTCTGAATAAATATCAGGTGAAATGAACAGGTTGACTGTTTTGTTATTAATTCAAAAGTTTGATTAAATAATCGATTTATTTGTATTTTATAACAATTAATAATTATTTATCTTAGCAAAGAAGACTTTTAAAAGTTTTTTTTATTTCAAATGTATAAACAATAAGTTACTTATGATGTAATGAAATGAAAATAATGATAATTTAACTTAGTAATAGTAATGAATATTCAGAAAATTTAAGATTTAAATTTAAAATTTAAGGCTAAAATACAATATTTTTTGAAAATAAATTGAAAATGTGTAAAAAATGTTGTGTTTATTTCTACTAATTTAAACATTTCTTCATTATAAAGAAAAAATTGTCAAGTTTGTCGTTAAAAATAATAATAATTACAGTCATTTTAGCACATGTGCTCTATTTTTAATCATATTATAACACATACATAAAATAAAGGTTAATTAAGATTATTTATTCTAAAATGAATATGCTGAAATATATATGCAATTGTTTATTTTAGAGAAATCACACAAGAGATTAAACGTCTACTCATGTAATTTGATTCTAAACGAACAAGGGCAACTTTCAGACAAAAAATATGTTAAGACACTCAAATGATTAAGACCAATAATTAGTGAAAAATCGTTTTGTTAACACCGTATTTATATTAGTTATTTATCATATTATTCGTAAATATAGTTATATTTATGTTAAGTTAAACTTTTTTTTAGTCGTTCTAAAAGTCTTATAGCCACTGTAAATTAATATACTACGACGTTATATACAAATTGATATTATCAAGTATATTTCATATAAAATATTTAATATAATAAGTTAATTTAATTAATTTATAAATATAAAATAACCAAGCACTTGATTGTCTTTCAATTTTGCAGTATATTATGTTATACAGTCATTTTTATATACAGAATGTTCAGTAAGTAAGGAAACGGATTTTTATTGTTCTCATTTAATTGTTTATAACAATTGACCTGTTTCATAACACTCTGTATATATATGTCTCATACAATATTTTTTGCAAGTGAACTCATTCATTTTTTTTATTAAAGTTTTTTTTTAACTAAATTTTTAACTTAAAAATCTAAGAAAATTTGTACTTAATTTTTAGTGTTTTAAAATTTTAATAGTTGCAGAGGATTGCATAGATGATTTTTGAATTGAATAATTTTTTTGACATTTTGTTCATAATTTTCATATAATTTGTTTTGTTTTATACTTGAGTGTTCATATTTGTTAAATAAAGATCTAGTTTAAATTTTGAAAATTAACATAACCCTATAAAATTATTTCAATACCCAACTATAGACTCATTTACATGTGTGTTTGTAGATAAATAAATATAAATATATGTTTATGTACGTTCGTATATCTTTACCCCCAAAAAATATTACTATTTATTAATAACTAATAATATTATATTAAAGACTCCCATCTTTTTTGTATATTCAATTCATATTTATTATTAACATTATAATTTTTGTAAATTTCAAACCTAATACAATACAAAATATACAAACCTGTTAAAACTTGCAAATAAAAATTTGATTTAACTATTATAGACAATTTATAATCTTAAATTATGAAATTATAATACAAAAATATTTATTTATAATAACATCAGTGCTTTTACTGTTAAGGTTATAAACAATGTATGAAATTGCAATTTGAGGAGAAAACAATATTTCTTAATAAAAACTAAAAAGTTAACTTAGTTAACAAACTAAGAAATCGATGATAATATCTCTGAACAAAACAAAGGAAACTGAGGATATGCTGTGTGTGTATTGATCTATACTATATTTTGCGACATTTTTGAGTTAAAAATTACTCAAGCAGATAACATTTTTTTAAATGTTACATTAATACAATGAACACATAATACACATTATAGCGAATATATAATTATACTTTTACTAGAAAATCTTTATTTTTTGATAAGCTGTATTTTTTTACATTTTCTTGCATATAATGGATAACTAGAGGCTATAAATGCTGTACTTCGAATGGATATAATAATCGTACATTTTTGGACTTTGGAATTTTCAAAACTTAAAATATTTACGCCTTGATATTTGTATATTGAAATTTTGTATGGGATATTTTTGCTTATGACTTAGGTATTTTGAGGAATACTCTTATCTATATATACTTACACACATGAAAAAAGCTAAATCTAATGAGCTTATAAAAGTTGTCTTTTACTTTAATTTTCTGAATGACCTATTCGTTGAGATTTGAAGTCTAAAGATAAAAAAATAATCACATTATACTAAAAAGGATGACACATAAACATTTTAAAATAGAATTTAAATCTTAGAACTAATATTAAAATTTGGAAAACATCACTGTCCTCTTTTAATGATAATACCGAAAATATTTAATGTTTGTTATAAGCAAACTATGAATCAATTTTGATTTAATAAATAAATAAATTAATTAATTGATAGAATTTAGACTTGAAATTTTAGTTTTTTGTTGATTTTAATATTTTTACAAAAGTTGAATAAATAAATGAATGAAAGTTAAAAAATATTTATATACATACAAAACAGTAGTAAATATAAATTGTATTACTAAGTGTAATACTGCGTTCTCTGACGGTAATTAAATGAACTAATTTTTATTCGATCAAAGGGTCTTAAACATGTACGTAGCTACGAAACGCATCGCTAGTGGTTTAAGAATAATAAACTAGAATCGCTAGTTGTACTAATATTACTCCATTAAAAAGTTAAATTAACACCTATCTTCAGAGTAAATGATTAAAGTCATTTTAATATTCAAATAAATATTTGATGATATATAGGTTTTATGATTTATTAATTAAAGATATTTTAAAACATTAAAATATAGTTGTAGCTAATAGAAAATAGAAGCCCAGTCTGTATTCTTTAATAAAAACAAACTATACAGTTGTATAGTTTATAAAAATTGCAAAAGTGCTCTATAGAATATTTATATATTATGATTGATAACAATTTGTTATTCTTTATTTTACATTTATAATGTATGGTTATTTATAGTAAGAATTAATCACTTGTCGCTAATATTATTTAAAATATTAAATTAAAACTAAAAAATATTTTTTATTTTAAATATGATTATATAATGTAAAACACATACTTACATAAAATAAAAATTGTATTGCAGTAATTAAAAAAATGTGCTCTTTTTTCATTGTTTATTTAAATTTTGTTGATAAATCTGTTTGATATAGTTTAAAATATGACAATCTTATGGTTGGAAAAATTAGTGAGAGAATTTCACTAGTATATTAGTAGAATTAGAATTAAGAATTGCAGACGAGATAACTAAATATATAATGTTTTATCTTAAATATAATAAAGAAAGTAGTTGTAGTATAAATTGGTACAAAATATAAAAAAATTGATTTAGTGGTTACTATATCAAGAACAAATATGAAATTATAAAGGGATTTTTATCCTATTTCGGCACTGCTTATAAGTGGTACAAAAATGAATTCAAAGTAATGAAAACGTTAATAATTGTATAAACATTTTGTGTGATGACAAATGATTTTATTACGGCGTTACGGATAGGCATTCAAATAGCATTGATGTACTGCAAAATACGCAAAACATGTATTTTATTTCAATTAAAAATATGTGGAAAGTTTTACCCGATTTTCATTAGCCATAATTAACCGTTAGCGTTTCCAATATTGTCACCCTTTATGGAATTTCAGAAGTGACGGGAAAATATTTCATGCGTTTAATCGAGTATAAAAATGAAATTATTATAAAAAAAAATATTGTTCAAATAAACATTAATGACATAATTCGTGATCATATTTATACTACTGTGTATTATGACAATCATAAATATTATAAAATCTTTGTTTAAGAAAAATATCTAAAATTCTCAAGTGATTAAATTATTGATAAAAATTTGAATAAGTTTATATGTTGGATAATTTTTATGAATATTTAAATTATTACCAAACAATTTCTTATATATAATATAATCTTAATTATATATATTTTATTAATTAATACATTTTTTCTGTAATTTTATTTTAACACATTTTAAGACAAAAATCCATTTGTAATATTTATTGAGTTAAAGAAAGTATAAAGTAATCTATAACACAGTATTTTTCTTAAGTTATGAATCCAGAAAAATAATTATTATAATAAATAGAAAATCAATTCATCTGTTACATAAGAATAGAACAAATAATTTTCTACTTAAAATTATAAAAAAAATGTTTTTTAAAATCAAAAATTATTTTAAGGAAGTACTTTAAATAATTTTTAAATTATATTTATTAACAATTTTTCTTATTTTACAATTATGTGACTTTTTTCTAAAAGCTGATATTCATTTTAATAATTTTTGATTTAAGTGAAATTTAAATGGAGTTTTACGTAAATCGATATATTTGATGAGTAAAAAGCAAACTTTGTAAATATTTTTTAATTGTTATTTCTAAGAATACGACAGGAGAGTTATTTCAATGCAACACTAAGGAACTATTCAGTAAAGCCAAGAACAAATACCTTATAGATATTATGATTTCCAACCTTCGATAGAAGAGGAACATTAAGAAGAAGAAGAATACGACAGAAATATTATTTTTTATTAAAATAAAAAAAAATATATTAACCGATTTGTATGAACTTTTGGACAAATTATTTTATTCGTTACTATTTTCATGTATGAAGTATTTAATAGTTTTTTATAATAGTTTTAAACTCCCTTTTTTATAGGAGGGTTTAAAAATTGAAACATAAGCATAAAAGTAGTACTTCTTCAACTTCACTTTTGAAAATATGTTTAATTGTAAAATATGTTAAATTAAAGCTTAAGTTACGTACAATAAAATCAAATATGAAATAGAAGTTAATGTTGCTTTTGGAATAATTCAAAAATTAAAAACTATCTACAGATTTATTCTAAAACGTTTTTTTGTGATAGTAATTTTAATCACTGTCATTTATACTTGTTCCCACTGTGCTTGATTTTTTTTTCATTTAGTTATATATTTACTCACTATTAACCATGTAATATTTTAATGTTCATCGCTTATTTCTTATAAGTGTGTTAAATTATTTTTTCAAATTAAAACATACATATTTAACTAATTTATTTATTAAATTATGAATTTTTAAGAAAAACTTTTGATAATAACTTGTGGAACAATATTTCAGAGGTAATCAATATTTTTATTTCTAGATAGAAGGAGTAAGATTGACTAGTATCTATAATAATAGCAACACCCATACCTCAACTAGTCATGACTTTACATTTTTCAAAACTTTTGAAATACTGTTTTAAAAGTGGTTATCGGTTAACCATTATCTTAATATATCATTAACTACTAAATATGCTAGTTAATTATACATATTTCTAATTGAAAAATTAAGGTCGATAACATTATGAGGTATAGGGGATAAACATAAGAAATTAATAAATTAAAAAATAAATTGAAATTTTCGGATAATTTATTTTATTATAAAAATATTGATGCTATAATATTTAAGTTACAAATTTTGATTAATTTATTCCTCAAGCGTTTCTAAAAAAAAAAAAAAAACATAAATGAGTCACATGAGAATATTTTTGAGAAATGCTATATTTTTTTTGTGATTGGTAAAGAAAATCGATTATAAATAGCATTTTATCTAAAAAAATTTACTGTCATCTTTAGTTCACTCAAATTTGTGGATATTTGGCTTTATAGTTTTGTATTTATATACTTTCTTACTTTATTTAAATTTATATTGATAGAAGTAATGATTCATTACCATTTAGTTATATGTAGTCTCTAAAAATACAGTTTAAGTCTTTATTAGGTAATAGTTATGTTTTTTTATT